TGAAGGTAGGTGGGATTAAAAACCACACATGGGAAATTTGTGAAGGTAACATATATGCTTAGTATCTGAAGTATAACGGTATTTTCAAGGGTGTATAACAAAACTTATTAAAAACTGCACCCTAAAAATATATCTTATATATCGGTAACTGTTAAAAAGTAACAAAATGAATCAGTAAGCCACAGACTGATTAAAAAGCCATCTGAAAAATGACTTACATGTAGGATATATAGAAACAACTCCTATAGCGCAACACTCAAAGAGTACAGGATCTTTGGTCTTTTTTCAAATGGGTAAAGGAATTTATTAAAAAGCTAAATAGGGTTGGGAGGTGTTACTTAGTGGTAGAAAACCTGCCTAGTGAAACCCTGTTTATAATCCTGGAACTTTTTTTTCTTTCTTTTATTTCTTTTATTTTATTTTATTTTATTTTTATTTATTTATTTTTTTTTTTTTGAGACAGGGTCTCCTTGTAGCCCCAGCTGTCCTGGCCTCGAACTCACAAAGATTTGCCTGCCTCTGCCTCTCAAGTGCTGAGATTAAAGGCGTGCACCACCATGCCTAGCTTGACTTTTCTTTTTCTTTTAAAAAACAGCTAATATGAAAATGGGGAGGAGGATGCATATTATCAGCCATTCAGAAATTATAAATTAAAAACATTTCATACGAACAATAGTCACTAAAATTCAAGTTATGTGACAATACCACACTGTGTATGCAGCTCTAAAGTAGCCACAAATTTATAATTTCATATAGCGTATCTCTGCCTTATGGTTCAGCAATTCTATTCCTATTCTATTTCTAGATACTCATCCAAAATAAATGAAAATATGAATTGTTCTTTAAATCTTAGAAATGAATGTTTATGTAAGATTTACTTATAATCACTCCAAACTGAAAAAAAAATGTATTGTACATAAACCGAAGAATAAACAAATTGTTCTAAATGCATACAATGAAACTGTATAACCAGAAAAAATGCTGAGCATACAAAGCCATCTAATAAAAGAGTACAAAATATACAGATACCCTCTAGGAATCCATTTATAATAAATTATTAGAACTGGCAATATTAATCAATGGCAAAAGAAATCCAACTAGTGGTTTCCTTCAGGTAGAAGTAGGAGAAGTTGGGGTTCCTTGATAAAGGGGTAGCAACAGTCTTTCTGGAGTAATGGAAATGTTTCATAGCTTGAGAAAGGTGTAAATTATACTGATATATGCATTTTTAAAATTGATTGTGGTGTATACTTAGGGACTATACATTTTTATACTGGATAGAACATACAGCCATTAAAACTATACGCATCCCAGCACTCAGGAGGTAGAGGCAGGTGGATTTCTGTGAGATCAAGGTCAGCCTGGTCTCCCGAGTGCTGGGATTAAAGGCATGCACCACCATGCCCGGCTACAATGTAATCTTAAAGCAATCATCAAGACATCTCTAACTACCTGCATGCACATTTTAACCAACCCGGTGTATTAGTAAGTCATCTCAAAAGATATTTTCTACAAGAGCAAAAACAAATTCTTTAAAATGTATTTGTTGAGGGGCTGGAGAGATGGCTCAGTGGTTAAGAACACGGGTTGTTCTTGCAGAAGACGCAGGTTCGAATCCCAGCACCCACATGGCAGCTAACTGTCCGTAACTCCAGTCCCGATCCAATAGCCTCTTCTGACCTCCATGGGCATTGCACGACATGGGTGCGCTTATCTACATGCAGGCAATACACACATACACATAAAATAAAAATAATAAAAAATTTAACTGTTGAGAAAGAAGAGTAGAGCACCTTTTATAGGCATTTATAGGGTTTTCACTCATGCTACATTTATTCCTTACCAACACAGATAATCTAGAATTAACCTGAAATCTATCTTTGAATGGGAAGACTGGTCAAAATGCATTTTTTTGTTATTATAACTTTCATTTATAAAAGCTTTACCTGCTTCTTTTACAAACCAACTAGATTACATTCTGTAGTTTCCTATTCTTTGCAAATATCTTTCATTCTTTAAATATGATTAACTGTCTTAATGCCCGTTATCTTTTGGTGCTGTAAATTCCATATCTAAAGTTTTTGCAGGTTTCTGCTAGTTCTTAAAAATGTCTTATTTATAGGTACTGACATATTTGGTTCGTTAGATGGCTCAGCGGTTAAAAGTACTGACTGCTCTTGCAGAGGACCCGGGTTCAATTCCCAGCACCCACATGGCAGCTATGAGCCATCCTTAACTCCAGTTCCAGGGGAATCTGAAGCCCTCTTCTGACCTCTGTGGCACTGAACGATACGGGTGCACTCACATACATGCAGGCAATACACTCATACACATAAAATAAAAATAATAAAATATATAAATTTTATTTATTTGTGTTTGGTTTTTTTTGTTTCGTTTTGTTTGTTTTGGTCTATTTGAGACAGGGTCTCCCTATAGCCCCAGCTGACCTGGAACTTGCTTTGTAGACCAGGCTGGTCTTGAACTCAGACAGATCAGCCTGCTTCTGGGATTAAAGGTATGTGCCACCATGCCTGGCTATTTGTATTTTTTTATATGTGAGTATTTTACCTATATGTATGTAAGTGCACCCATGTGTGCAATGCCTGCAGAAGCCAGATTGGGTGTTAGATCCCGAAATTTCAGTTATGCCCAATTGTTAACTGCCATGTGGGTGCTGCCAAACTTGTGTCTTCTGCAAGAGCAGCCAGTGCTCTTAACCACTGAGTCATCTCTCCAACTCCCAAAGATGTATTTATTTTTATTTATGTGTATGTATCTGAGTGAATTTATGTGCATTCAGGTGGCATGGAGTTACCACCTGCTGTGGGTACTAGGAACTTAAACTGGGTCCTCTGCAAGAGCAATAAATGCTCTTAACCAGTGAGCCATCTCTCCCACCCCTGTATTTGGTATTTGATTCTGAGTATATACCATTCACTTTCAATAAATTTGTAGAGACAACTTACAGCCTAAATATAAAGGCAAATATCTCCCAGTTAGAATTTGTTTCTCCTTAAAAGTACAGTTCATCCACAGTCACTTTAAAATCACATCATCAGATTTCACAGAGAATTTGGGTACCAAATGTGAACATGGCCCAACACATGACTACAAGTTCTCTCTGACAGGTAAGATTTCTTCACCACCTTATTCTAGTCACTGGAGTTCCTCCTCTTGTCCCCAAAAGGCATATATTTCTTTTGTTTTATCCGTAAGAATGAGGGTTTTTTTTTCAGTCTCAGCTCCCAAAAACTTTAAGCACATGTATAATTTTAAAGTCGAGACCTTTTAGTAATCTTCAGACCCAGAGCAAGATTCAGAAATAAGTATAACAGTTAACAATAATCCTCGCTATTTATTATGCCTATTCTTCTATCTAATAAATAAAAATTAGAATTGCTTCTAAAATAAAGCTAAATAAAAACTAGAACTGCAAAACTCTACTCCTCTGAGATTGGCCACATTAGATTTGAGACATAATTACAACAAAGGCAAACTGATTCCATGTTACTCATTTTAAAATTAAATTAATCTTTCTTAATTGCAAAAACTTCAGGTTACTTCTACCCTAGGACTCAACACATGAAATGGTACCTGATTTGGTGTTTTTCTTGACTCATCAAGAACAAAGGAAATATTTAATACATAGCTGTACACCAATAACTAGTTTGGGTGCTTCCTAAATAATTTTTTGAATGAATAAAAAACATTTTAAAACATTAAATCATACTACCTTTAAAATATAGTCCAAAAGGGAATTTCATAATAAGTTATAATAATTTCAGCAATGGAAAATAAATAAAACATAATCTTCAGTCTAAGAACAGTATGGTGCAGTATCTGGTTGGCACACAAAAGGGCCTGGTTCAGTCCCTACCACTGAAAATACACACACCTATACACCCCCCAAACCAGTGAGTTACTCTGCAAGATCCACTAGATTAGCAGAAAAATCTAAAAATGAGTCATAGAAGTGATGAGCAGAATTCAAGCAATAGGAACTTTCGTTTATTCCCACTGACATTACCCAAATACATTCTCATTTACGTTATCCAAATAAAGTTGAATATATACACACCTACCCGAAGATTCAGTAATTCTACCAAAGGAAACTCCTATGTATGTACCAGAAGAGAGTATTCATAGGAACCTGTTTCACAATAAAAACTGTTTGTAAAAATGCCTGTCAAGAGCAAAATGGATAAACACATTTTGGCATATTCATATTCTGAAACAGGATACACAAAGGAAAATGAACTCCAATTACGTAAGAATTTAACAAACATACTGTTAACCAAAAAGGCAAGCTGCCCGAAGATACCTAAACAAGTGAATCAAAAAATCAGTCAAAATCAGAAAAGCAGAATCACAGGATATTTAGAAACACATATAGTAAGAAAATGTTTAACAAAACATGAAATAAATACTGGGAAGGCTTTAACGCATAGCTATGGCCATGCTCAGAGAAGGTTTCAATATTATTTTAATACACGATTTTACTAATATAACAAACTGAGCCAGTGAGATAGCGCATGCTTGCCACCAAGGCCAAAGACCCGAGTTTCATCCCAGGACCCATATAATGGAAGGAGAAAGCCAAACAAACTCCTACAGTCTGTCCTCTGATCTCCACATATGTTATGGCAAGCACACATGACCATATTCAGTACACACACACACGCACACACAAAATGTAATTTTAAATATTACAATAAAAAAATTACAATAATAAGATAAAGTTTTTTTTCCCCAAAAAACAGTTACTGAATCAAAGTTCAAATTATTAACATTTAAAGAATGATGTGAGTATAAAGGGAAGGAGAGTCATAGCCTTGGCTCAGATCAGGACTACAGCACTCTAAAATTTAAGCAAAAAAAAAAAAAAATGTAGCTCACAATTCCAAAGACAAAATAAAACTATTAATGGATTCTGGAGAACTGACACCAGTTGAACATGTACCCATCTGCTGAACAGTCTCAGGTGCTGCATGGAATCTTACCTGGGGAGGATAGTTGCTCTCTGAAGACCATCTTGAAGATTGGTCATTTGGTTTATCCACTAAAATGTTCCTGGAATAAAGAAAATTGGAGTGATTAATGAAAACAAGTGAACACTAATGGGCAAAAAAAAAAAAAAAGGAATACGCTACCATTCTAACAGTGTTGAAACTAAGTTACAAAACGTTTAAAGTTGAATGAGAATAGAAAATAAAACAGAAAAGCACAAAAAGTGTCTAGTGTATAGAAGCATACTAATAAAAAGCGTTTTGAGCCAGCAGTTGTGGCGCATACCGGTAGGATAAGCTGAAGAGGCAGAGGCAGGTGGATCTGGAGTTCAAGGCCAGTTTGAGCTACATATTTTTAAGCCAGGCGTGGTAGCGCACGCTTTTAATCCCAGCACTCCCGGAGGCAGAGGCAGGTGGATCTCTGTGAGTTCAAGGCCAGCCTGGTCTACATAGTGAGTTCCAGGACAGCTGGGGCTACAGGGAGACCCTGTCTAAAAAAAAACCCCACCCAAAAAAAGTGTTTTGGGCTGGAGGCACACAACTACATTCCCAACACTCAGAAAACAGATCCTAAGTGTGAAGGCAGCCTTGGACACAAAACTGAGTTTCAGGCTATCCTGGGTTAGAGCATGCACATACACACATAGACACACAGACAGAGAGACAGACAGACAGACACACATGCACGCACACACGCACACATATACACACAAACATGGGTGAGGCCTGGCTTGGGAGCACAGTTCCATGTGAGAGAGAGATCTGAAGGATCAAACTCTCAAGAGTTCAAGTCCACTCTTGACTTTTAAAACTAATGCTGAGTCAGTCTGATTCTTTACTCAGATACAACTGTAATGTGGCTTAGGAAGATCACAGCTGCATAAACAAGAGCTGCACAATGATAACAGCATGAACATACCAATGCAGATAGGGGAATTTTCACAAGGCCCCAATAAAGAACTACAGGCAATCAATCAATGGCTGCTGAGAGAGGGAGAATCAGTCTTCTTTAGGAATAAACCACCTGATAAATTACCCAAATCCAAGTGCTCAGCTCTAACACATGTACATAAGTACAACACTAAATGGACGAGAGAGAGAGAGAGAGAGAGAGAGAGAGAGAGAGAGAAACAGTAATAATTGAAGAAGAGGTCATGAACTTGATAGGGAGTAGAGAGGCATAAAGGAGGAGTTAGAGGGCATAACAGAAGGGGTAATAATGATGCAAATATGGCACTCATGTATGGAAGTCTCAAAAAAATTTTTAAGAGTACTTATATTTAAATACCAGTATAAAAATGGGTAATGTTCCATGTGTTCCTTTGCTAATAAACCCTATTTTGATGGGAAAAAAAAATGGGTAAAACTCCAAACATTTAAAATCAGTTTTAACCAAACACTGAGGATTCAAAGACATGCATTTATCCCTACAAAATTGGGGCCACAGTCTCAAAAACAAAAATACACTTCTGAACCATCAGATTGTTAGCTAAAGCTGGCACAAACCCTGAGGTTCTGCTGGTAAAAATGCAAACTGGTCGGGCATGGTGGTGCACACCTTTAATCTCGGCACTCCAGAGGCAGAGGCAGGCGGATCTCTGTTTCAGGCCAGTGGGGCTACAGGGAGACCTTGTCTGAAAAAAAAAAGGAAACTGATGGACCTTTTCAGGAGACAATTCTAACATAGCATCTATCAAAAACATTTGACTACAGCCATGACAATGGGAGGGGGGCATCCTGGTGTTCTAACTGCTTTCTATGTACAAACTTATATTTAAAGCATAGATTTAGAAACAAAGACATAGAAAAAATAATTTGCCTAAATATACACATCCAAATAAGAATCTGAATTCATGGAGCCTGATTGCAAAGGGTTCTTAATCACCAAACTAAAAATACTACTCCAACTTCTTGGAACTTAACCTAAAAACCAATCTAGGTAGGCATCATCCATATTCATCACAGGACAATTTAGAACAGCAACCTGTAAACAGACTAACAATGGAAATTAGTTAAAACGTTATGTTTATGATAACATATTGAATAATCATTATATGTTCTACACTTTAATTAGTCATTGGCGAATGTTCACTACATAGTAGTAAGTAAAAGGAAATGTTTATATATGTAAAGAATAAAGAGTTGAAAGAAATTATAGCATTCATACATGGGGAAAAGATAAAGGGCACATACTGTTATAGTGGCTCTCGAGGGTAAGATAACTGGGGTTTTTGTCACTGTGCTTCCCTGTATTTTTTCAAATTTTCTAAAATCAAGAATTTACTTTTTATTTGAAAGGGGCTGTTTTTAAAGAATTACAAAAGACAAAATAAAAATATTAACAGTATGAAGACAATACAGTACACCTAAAAACGAGGTGTACTAAAAAATCTAAAATTTAAAAAAAAAAAATCACATTGACATCAATGTTATCGAGTATGACAGGAAATCTAATACATGACAACTATGACAACTTGGGACCACAAAAATCAGAAAATACAATAAATTTGGGAAAAATGTATCAGGAAACAGTGAGAGAATGCCTTTATCTTTCATAATTCTTGAAATATTTATGAAGTCAACAAAAAGAAAGGCAACTTAAACTTAGAAATAAAAATGTTATACACATTCTCAATTATTCAAGATAGACTAACAAAAACATTTTGGAGGGCTTGTGAGATGGTTCACTGACTAAAGGCACATGCCACTAAAACTTACAGCCTCTGAGACCCACACAGTAGAAAAGGAACAATTCCCAGAAGCTGTCCTCTGTCCTCCACATGCTTGTTGCAGCAATGCACACCCCATACAATAAATAAACAAACAAATGGAATGTTTAAAAACCACTTTTGAAAAACTATAAGAAATAAAAATTAAATAAAAGCTAAAGGCATAAAAAAATAAAAATTCTAAATAGAGTGACAGTCTTAACATTGAACACCAATACAGCCATATCCATAAATGATCTAAAATAACAATAAGATGTTGTTGGTACTGGGTAAATAAGACACATTACTATCTACTTCTTTTAGTTTGCTATCCTCTTGCTGTGATAAACACCATGACCAAAAGCAATTGGAGAGGAAAGGGCTTATTTCTACTGTTGGGAGGTCAGGGCAAGAGCTCAAGGTAGGAACCTGGAGGCAGGAACTGAAGCAGAGATCATGGATGAATGCTGTTCACTGGCTTGTTCTCGTTGGCTCTTGCTCAGCCAGCTTTCTTATAGAGCCAGGACCCATCTATCTAGGATGTACCACCCACAGTGGCTGGGCCCTCCTACATCAATGAACAATCAAGAAAATGCCCCACAAGACATGGCCACAGGCCAATCTGATCTAGGAAATTCCTTAAGTGAGGTTCCCTCTTCCCAGGTGACCACAGCTTATGTCAAGTTGACAAAAACTAATCACTATACTATTTAAAGATACACATTTCTTGACAAATAATAGATACAAAAGACAGGTGCAAATACATATATATACATGGATGAAAATGTCAAAATGAAACCCATTATTTTGTACAATTAATATGTGCTAACAAAAAAATGAATGGAAAAAATGAAATACAACTACAAAAAAATTCTATTTCAAAGCAGGAAGGAATAATGACATTGTGAAGAAAAAGGGACAAACAAACTTGAATAATGCAGGGGAGTGGGCCATGTCATAATCTAAAAATTTAGTGCACACATCATTATGTGCAAGGGCAGGGGGAGTGCTGTAGTTTATATATACAATGGCCCCAAAAGTTCATTTGTCAAAAGCATGTCAACACTGCCTCCATGATGGCACTATTGAGAAGTGAGGGGATCATAAGAATGCCAGCCTAGTTAATGGGTCAGTTCATAGCTGAATGGGCTATTAGAAATCAGGGTCTAAATGGAGGAAATAAATCACTGTAGGCACACCTCTGAAGGGGATTTCAGCCCCCTTTCTTTCTACTCTCAGTTTCCTGACTGCTGGGAGCTAAGCAGCTTTTTTGCACCATGCCATTCTGCCCTGTTGCTTTTGCCTTGCTAAATGAATGTTACCTAAAACACATACAAATAAATGGAGTTAGCTAACTATGGACTGAAATCTTTGCAACCATAAACCACAACAAATTATCTCCTTTAAGTTTTTCTTCACACATTATTTTGTCACAATGACAGAACACTGCCTAACACAGAAAGCATATAGTTATAATATGCTTTGGTCTTATAAAATGTATAAAAAGCCCCAGTTGAATATCTAAGGGTAAAATTTAAGAGAAATCATGTGGCCAAGTAAAATATACAACTTCCAGAGCTTTAAGTGTATCCACGTTATTTCAATTTGTGACACCATGGTCACTAAGGGAATGAAATGGACCGAGAGGACTGAAGGACTGATAAAGCTCTAGGGGTTCAGAAGAAAAGAATCAAGCCAAATGAGGAGGGCCAAAGATGAAAATCTACAAAGTATGGATGCCAAAAAACAAAGTATTGTAAGAAATGGGAAAGTATGCAAAATGCTTCTGAGAAGATGAGAACTGGTTGGTTTTTTTTTATCTGTCTAAACACTGCCACATGAAAGAGGCTTAGTAAATATTTACTAATGATATAAACAAATAAGTAGCACTAAAAATTGTTAATGGATCTCCCAAAGCGTACATATTAATCCCACTGGTTATCTGTAACTTAAAGCTCACGTTATACTGAAATGAAAATAAATGAGAACTACAGGGGCTGGAGAGATGGCTCAGCGATTAAGAACACTGGTTGTTCTTGCAGAAGACCTGGGTTCGAATCCCAGCACCCACATGGCAGCTAACAACTGTCCTTAACTCCAGTCCCAGGGGATCCAACACCCTCTTCTGACCTCCACGGGCATTGCACGACACAGATGCACTTACCTATATGCAGGCAATACACATTTTCACATAAAATAAATATAATAAATACAATTTTTTTTTAAAGTTAAAAAAAAAAAGAAAGAAAACAAGAAATACAGACCAGAGACAGGCACTGGTGGCACACACCTGAGATCTAAGCACTACTCAGGTAGAGATGAGAGGATTCTAAAAGGCTTGCTACAAAGTAAGTTC